AGTTGGTAGTTGGGGACTTAGTTCTCAACGTTATCAGCAAGTAGGCCACAATGAGAGCACTAAGAGGGAGTTCTGGGAAGCCTGGAGGATATGGGTAGGAGTGTACTACCTCCGTCCGAAAAAGCTTGTCCCAAGGTTGTCCCTCAAGTAGATGTATCTAGTACTAACTTGGTGCTAGATACATCCATTTGAGGACAAACTTTTCCGGACGGAGGGAGTACCTATTAGTGAGAAGCTCTTCATAGGAGGAGCCCTAAATGGCCACATAGGTACATCTAACACAGGTTTTGAAGGGGTGCATGGGGGCTTTGGCTATGGCATCAGGAATCAAGGAGAAGATGTCTTAAGCTTCGCTCTAGCCTACGACATGATTGTAGCTAACACCCTCTTAAAAAAGAGATGATCCCATCTAGTGACTTTTAGTGGTGGTGAACACTCTAGCCAGATTGATTTCGTCCTCTCGAGAAGAGAAGACATGCATGCTTTACTAGATTTTAAGGTGATACCTGAAGAGAGTGGTGTCCCTCACATAAGCTTTAGGTGGCTGACTTCCGCTTTAGGATTCGTGTGTAGCGGGATAAGCGCCGCAAGTCGCTAGAACGAAGTGGTGGAAGCTCAAGGGGGAGGCGGCTCAGGCTTTTGAGAAGGTTATTAAGGAGGGCCCTTGGGAGGAAGGAGGTGATGCAAACAATATGTGGATGTAGATGGTGACTTGCATTCGTAAGGTGGCTTCAGAGGAGTTTGGGGTGACCAGAGGAAGTAGAAGCGAAGCTAAAGGTACCTGGCGGTGGAAGGCTATTAAGGAGAAGAAAGACTATTTCAGATGCCTACACCTGGGTAGGAATGCAGACAATATAGAGAGGTACAAGGCGGCAAAGAAGGCTGCAAAGCGAGCAGTGAGTGAAGCAAGGGATCGGGCGTATGAGTAACCTGAAGCAGCACAAGGTTGTGAGGAGCCACTCCACCTTGCTGCTACAAAGTGAACAGCACTAGTGTTGAACGAACTACTTCAACGTGTTGTGCTACATATCGCTCTAGAGGAGAATATAGGACAATATGGCAGCAGGAGTTCAATCCAAAACTCCTAGAGCACAAGATCTAGTCCAAGATCTTAGATAAGAACACCAAGTTCTGTTATAGGTAGTGGGGTACATAGTCTGGTTACAAACTAGAGGTGAGGACCTCTGTTTGTAGGGCTTTGGGAAGCCCTGACATCTCACTTCTACTTATAGCTAGAACACTCTAGAAAACATTACAAGATTCACCATTTTCCTCATAGCTAGAAGACTAGAAAACAGTAGCTAGGGTTAAGAAACGAAAAAAAAACTAGACTAGAGTAGAAGTATCTAGAAGTAGGCAAACAGATTTGACATATGAATTTTTTTTCCCTCCTCTGTTGTTCCTCATCAGGACCTCTACCAGCACTTAGACACAAAGGAAGGCGAAAAGGACATCTATAAGATGGCCAAGATCCGAGAGAGGAAGACGAGGGATGTCAACCAAGTGAAATGCATCAAGGACGGAGCAGATCGGCTCATAGTGAAGGACGAGGAGATCAAGCATAGATGGCGGGAGTACTTCGACAAGCTGTTCAATTGAGAGAATGAGAGCTCTACCATTGAGCTGGACGACTCCTTTGATGATACCACCAGACGTTTTGTGCGACGAATTCAGAAGTGAATCCAAGAGTCTGAGGTCAGGGAGGCTTTAAAAAGGATGAGAGGAGGCAAGGCGATGGGCCCTGATTGTATCCCCATTGAGATGTGGAGAGGCCTTGGAGACATAGCGATAGTATGGCTAACTAAGCTTTTCAACCTCATTTTTCAGGCAAACAAGATGCTAGAAGAATGAAGGTGGAGTACATTAGTACTAATCTTCAAGAACAAGGAGGATGTTCAAAGTTATACTAATTACCGTGAAAATAAGCTGATGAGCCATAATGAAGTTTTGGAGAGAGTCATTGAGCACCGCTTAAGAGGAATACCAAGCGTACCAAAAATCAGTTTGGTTTCATGCCGGGAAGTCGACCATGGAAACCATTTCCTTGGTACAACAACTTAGGGAGAGATACAGGGAGCAAAAGAAGGACCTGTGTATAGTGTCCATTGACTTGAAGAAGGCCTACGATAAGATACTGCGAAATGCCATGTTGTGGGCCTTGTAGAAACACAAAATCCCAACAAAGTACATACCCTCATCAAGGACATGTACGATAATGTTGTGACAAGTGTTCAAACAAGTGATGGCAACACCGATGACTTTTCGATTAAGATAGGACTGCACCAATGGTCAACTTTGAGACCTTATTTTTTTGCCTTGGTGATGGATGAGGTCAACAAAGATATACAAGGAATGAAGGAGATATCCCATGGTGTATGCTCTTTGAGGATGATGTGGTGCTAGTCGATGATGGTCAGACAGGGGTTAATAGAAAGTTAGAGCTATGGAGACAAACTTTGGAATCAATAGGTTTTACGCTTAGTAGAACTAAAACCGAGTATATGAGGTGCAGTTTCAGTACTATACATTATAATGCACTTATAATATCCTCCAGAATGTAAACATTAGTGAATAGCGAACCACTTGCCTGGGTCAATGTTGTTGCATCAGCAATTACAAATGGCACATTTACAAACCGAGCTAATGTCTTTGCAAGCAAAGTTTTACCTGTGAAAAATATGAAGCATCCAAACAAAATAGTACTGATGAGCGCTCTCTCTTTATTATAGTTCGTCCAACATAGAAGAAACCAGAATTCAGTTTATTCCAATCACAACAACTGAGGATAGTTGCAGATGCTACCTGAACCAGTAGGGCCCATTAACAGTATATTGCTTTTCTCTAGTTCAACATTGTCTTCACCATCAGCTTCTCCATCAGAACAACCCAAATCTGCTCCAGACCTAATGGTTTTAGCTTATACATCACATAATTAGTCGCTGAATGATATGCATGAGTTCTAATTTCTGTGGGTGCAGTAATAAATATCCTTACTCATTTCATAAACAAAACAAAAAGAATTGAGGTGGTACAATGGAACTGACCCTTTCTGTAGAGACTGATGGTATATACGTTTATAGTGGTTGTACACTGCAACAGATAGCACCTACAAATTTAAATGGTAATATCATATCAGAAAATCAAAGCTATGGAAGCGTTAGTGTTGAATGTTGAGTACACAATACTAAGCAGGAGTACTTGAGCTTATCATGCCGATTATACTAAATCAATATCTAGATGCCACCTTTGCCGCTCAAGGCTAATATATCTTACAATTGAGAAAAAACACCCTTGACAGTACGAATAGTTGATCGCCAAATCTCATCAACACTAGCTGTACTATATTGTGTATGGAACATTGGAACTTGCACTAGATTTGGTTAGATGGTACAGATCAAGGAAAGGTGCACCCAGGTCAAGGTTGATTGAAGGTGAAATCACCAGCGATCTTGATCAGTTTTCCGTACAGCTTCTGTAGAAAACTGTTGGAGGTGGCAGACCTGTGGTTGAGCAAATCCACCTGGGTCTATATATCCATAGCAGCAGCCAGAGACCGATTCTCCATGAGCACTACCAAGCTCTTGGCAGCCACAGGACGCAGAAAGATGAAGTGGTCGTCAATGCCGAGTTCATGCCTCCATGAGCAGTCCTTGTCACTGGTGTCAGACAAGGAGAGAAACTAACGCCAAGGCCTCCCTAAAAGGATAAACACTTCCTCTCACCAAAGCATCCTTGCCGGTTTGGACCGCATTACTTTCGCCTCAAAGCTCTGCATCTCAATGGCTTGCTCAAGTTGTGCTCAAATGAAGCCACATCTCACAACTCCAAGCGTACATTGACCAAGTTGCCAAGGATCTAGACACCGCAGGCCTCTTTTTTTCGATAAAACGCAAAGACTTTGCGTTTCATTGCATTGAAAAGAGAGGGGTCATCAGTACAAGCCTCCGAGAGGGAGGGTTACAGATTCAAAACAAAAAAGGATCAGTGGACGTCCCAGGTGGTCGGTAAGACTACGCCTAGGCCTGTGGCTCCTGCTCTGACCCAAAGGGTCGCTTCCTCTCTAATTCTAGCCGTGAGTTCGGTAATGAAGGGCTGAGCACCGTCGAAGACGCAGGCGTTCCTCTGCTTCCAGATCATCCAGGCCTACCGCACTAATGACCTGCTCCGCGATGGGCACATTCCACACACCCGATTGAATCGCTCACTGGCTGGAATCCACATAAGAGCACTCTCATTAAGTTAATAGTTTGCCCTCAGCGTTAAGTAACCACTGGTGCTTTGTGAATTTGCATAAAAATTGTAGAAAAGCATACAAAGACTTCGCATTAGATAAATCGTGGACTGTGGCTACGCAATATGTTTAGTTCCTTGTCATTGTTTCATGGTGTTCTTTTACATGACGGGGAGAGTGACAACTTATTCCCCTTTTTGTTTGTGAAACCCTGTTTATATCCTTTGAGCGCACTCCCATAACTAGCGATCACCTGGATCTCACCTGTGCTAGTGTGAAGTGTTATCAGATATCTTCAGGAGAAAACTGAACTAAAACAACACTCAAAACCCACTGATCAAACTCCATTTCCAATCGAATCATCTCAACTACATTAAGATTTACTTTTTTTTTCTCGAATACAGAGGAGAGTTGTGTATCATTGCATTAAGAATAAATGTACATACAAGCCCCACTAAACAGCTAAAACGGACGGGTCAGAAGCAAGAAAAAGACGACCTACACTCAAACCATGACCACGACCAGGACTCTCCCATGATCAGTCTAAGGACCAAAGTTGTGCTTCATCTTTAATGGCCAGTAGCACCCTTTGGACATTGGGAACTCCCGCTGAAGACACGGTCATTTCGATGCTTCTAAATCATCCAAGCACAAAGAGTGATTAAGGATTTCCAACCACCCTGCATAGAACCTGGCACCGTAGAGATGGTTCTGGACCACCAATCAAATAAATGAGCAGAAGGTGATTGGGGCGCCAAGTCGGGGAGGCCAAGATGTCTGAACAGGAGGGACCAAGTCTCTTGCAAACACACAAGAGACAAGGATGTGATGAATCTTATACTCTTCCTGCTCACAAAATGAGCAACAATCTGAAATGTGGCGAACCCCTCCGTTAAAGGCGATCAGCCGTCCAGCACTTATTATGGGCAAGATGTCTGAACAGGAGGGACCAAGTCTCTTGCAAACACAGAAGAGACAAGGATGTGATGAATCTTATACTCTTCCTGCTCACAAAATGAGCAACAATCTGAAATGTGGCGAACCCCTCCGTTAAAGGCAGTCAGCCGTCCAGCACTTATTATGGGCAACCAACCACAGGAAGAAATGGCATTTCTTAGGGGCACGTGGCTTCCAAATCAACCTCCAAATGTTCCAGACCAACTAAAACCAATAAAGAACACTTACGCTTTGCAGGCCGTTTTCACCGAATACTAACCATCTCCAGCAAATCTCCAAGAATGCTTATCTTGAATGTCATTCTGGATCTCCACTTCGGACACAAGATCCCATATATTTAAATATTCGGATAAGCAGCCACCAAGAGAGCGCCTTGAATATCCTGCACCCAACAACGTCCCACCAGTGCATCATGAACCGTACGGCTATTAGCCCGATGCCCCGATGCTTTAGGGATAAGGGCAAAAAGGTGCAGAGCAAGATCAACAATGGACTGCCCCTCCAACCATCCATGCAGAAAAGGGTGTTACGACCATCACCCACCACCGAGATAATAGCGGTGGAGAAGAGAGCCTTGATACAAGGATGAACTAGTATAGTGTATCTGGTCCCAAGGTTTATCTGGTTGGGTTTTATGCATCCATAGCCGTCACATCCGTGCCCAACCACAAGTTTTAAATCAAGAATACCCAGACCTTTCGAGCTCCTTGGAACGGCAAACCATCAGCCATGCAATCAAACAATGACCACCTCTTGCCTCCTTCCTTCCTCTCCACAAGAAGCCCCTTCTGATTTATCAATTGCCCTCAAAGCCCAATTTGGAAGATCCATGGCCATAGCCAAATACACAAACAAAGATGTGAAAATGACCTTACCCGCTCAGCTAGCCCGTGTCATGACTTCAACCTTCCATCCCGGAGTTGATCAGCAATTCTATCAATGATAGGTTGAATTTGGATTGCTGTAAGTTTTTGATGGACAAAAGCAGGCCAAAATATTTGCAAGGAAACTCTTTCACCTCAGAAGGCAAATGGTCCTGGACGACAGCCAAGTCGTCGACCGAACATTGGATTGGTATAGCACTACCCATCTGAATATTCGTCTTAAGACCAGATGCACCCCCAAGCACACGTAAAATATCCTTGATCAGCTCCGAATCTGAAGCCACCATTACAATAAGAAGCACCACGTCGTCAGCATAAAGAGAAACACGATGACGAAGTGGTCGGCTAGATAGGGGCTGCAGCAGCCATCATCCCTGGCCTTTTGAACCAAGCTATTGAGAGCGTCCATGACAAGGATGAACAACATTGGGGACAGAGGGTCCCCTTGACGAAGGCCTCTCATATGATGAATCTCATTAAGATTTACATCTCATGCAATGTGTTTGCCAAAAAAACTCTGATTAACTATACTAATAGCATTCCCGCAAAAAATATTCTAATAGGTGGGTAATCATAAGTCCTCAATCAGCAAATCTGAGCCAATCGAAATAGGATTCTACTGTGTAAAGATTGGATTTGGCTACCATATATAGTACAACTGGACACAATGCTTGTACCTGTATCGATCTCCTTGTATGCCTATCGGCACTAAGCTGTATAAAAAACAACAGCTGCCCAAGATTGATCTGTGCTGAATCAGGTCAATATTTCTCTTCCTGTCTTCTATACATTGTTGTAAAACGTGGCGAACGAATTCTGGTGTACATGTCGGGCTTCAGGCTGAGCTTGACAACGCTGAGCTAGAGACTGGGGGCAGATTCATTGGCTCGTATTTAGAAGTAAAACGTGCAGTTGGGTGCATCCATCTGCCAAGCAAGAGGGAACGGGCACATTTTATGTACAGCGCTAATTGACCGTAAACAATGCAATCAATGATGGCAACAGCAGCAGAATTTCTCAGGCATGCATGTTTGCCACATGGCTCTCCTTGAGGGTGCTGAGGTATATAGTTTATGACAGAAAGGAGACTGCGTGTGTGTTGCCTAGGAAGACCGCACATAGGCTCTTGGTGACCGCATTATCCTTGCTCTGATACCATGAAAGAAGAAGTATTCAGCTGAACTTGATGATTTGTATTTTTCCTCATGGGGTAGTCTATAGAGATTAGAATAGAGCGAGGAGGAACAACATGCTCAACAACAATCTGTTGAGATCCTATTACAAAGAGCTAGAATAATGTATCTGCGTGTGAATGCAGCTGATGACCATGGGAAGCTGACGACTATGGCTGGGTTAGTTCATTATCGTTACTTGGAACTACCATGGAACAGATGGTGTGTGAGAGGTGAGATTACCAGATTACCCTTCATTACTTTCAGTATAAGGTACCAATTCCACACCATTGATCTGCATATCCATAAACTTCTCTAAAAGTGGTATATCGAAACAAAGGTTACTAAATTTTCTTTCATTATCACGCAATGGGTAAAATAGGTTAAATCCGTAAATTCAGATGTATCTTGGTGTAAAGGAAGAACACCCTCCTTGCATGCCATCATTTGATGGAGCTCAAAATTTCAAACTGCTTTTGCCATTACAAACCTCCCCTCTGTAGGCTTCTTACAACTCCCACGGGTCAAAATAAGAAAAAAGTAGGAAAGAACATAATTGTGTTCCCACGCGAAAGCAATGCCCCAAGTTTTAGCACAGCACAACTGGCACAAAAACTGTTGTGCTGAGTGCACTGAGAGGAGCACACGGACTAGGCATTAAAGACCTAGCATTTGGATTCAGCATTAAGAACCCAATATTTCCCACAAGCTGACCAAAAGCAGCAGCAAAATGCCATCTCTGATATAAACAGTAAATAAAACAAGTGAACGGGAGCATGATTACAGCAAAGAGTTGTATAGAATCCTCACCTTCTTGGCTCGGTCTTGCCCAATCACATACTTATCGAGCCCCTTGGAAATCTCCTTAGGTGTCGGAAAATCCTTCCCAAGGTTCGACCCGCCCCATCCGTCTTTTCCCCCTCCCTCCTCGCCCCCACCGCCAGCAGTTCCTCCCCCGCCACCGCCTCCGGCTACGCGGACGACGTTAAGGCTAGGGTGGAACGGTGGCCCGGGCGGCACATGCACGGCCACGCCACTACCATCCCCATCGTCGCGCGAAGACGAGCTCGCACGGATGGCTTCCCATGAGGAGGGGTCCCTGACCCTGACACCGTCCGGGGGCAGGTCAGCCCGGACGCGGCCGATCTCGACGAAGGTGCCCTGAAGTGGCGCGAGGTGGTTGGGGTGGAAGAAGTAGGCGGTGCGGCAGTTGGGACAGAGGTTGAGCGTCTGATAGCCGCCGACAGCGGCGGGGGCTGAAGGGGGGTGGGCGCGGTGGGAGAAGAGGATGTCCATGTGCTTGGAGCAGCGCGGGCAGTGGGCCTCCGCGCGGATACGCCGCGGCTCCGGCTCGTCGTTAGAGGAGGACGAGGAGGAGCCGCCCCCGGAGGACGAGGGGCCCTCCCACTTGCGCCGATCCTGGAGGAGCCGGTGCGGTGGCGGGACCGCCGCGATGGCAGGGGAGCATTCGGCTGCGGTCAGGGTGGAGGCGGCGCGCGTGGCTGCGGCGGCGAGGCGCCTCCACCGGAGGAGGCCAGACATGGCGGAGGCGAGGAGCGCGCGCGGAGCTGCGGATTGGGGGGAGTCGAGAGAGAGAGAGAGAGAGAGAGAGTGGGTTGTGTTTCCTGTGGTGTCTCGGCGGGTGTGGTTAGCGAATTCCTGCGCTGTTTTCCTCGCGTGTTTGTGAGTTTTTTACGTGGTGGGGGCCTGCAGATACGTGGATTCCGGGATGGCGAGGCCAGAATCTTGCTATCAGATAAGGTGAGCTGTTGCACGGTTGGGTTTTTTTTACTAGACTAGTAATTGCCCATACGTTGCAAAGAGAGCAAACATATTTTAAAGTGGTCGAACACCAGTTATATCTTTGATTATTTTATAAGCGTTAATATATTTGTTCGCATATTTATACTTATTCCCCCATCCGCCTCTCTAATGACTCTATGCAATCCTCTAGCTTTGTTACAAATTCTAGGTTTATCTCCCTGTGTTGCCACGGGAGCAGAACAATTTTCCATAAAATAAGAGCTGCGTGAAGAAATATGATGGTCCTAGACAATATAATCTACCTGGTCTTACTAACATGTTTATTGTGTGCACACATCTTAATTGATAGCGGCGCGGCATGGA